CCTAAATCTTTTTGATAGAAACATAAATGGTACTTATTTAAATATATTATCACTGGTTTGGTGTAAAATAGTTAATATTTTCTGACCGAAATAATAATTCGAAATGTGCCTACCTCCTGCAAATGGACGTATTTGGCCAAGTTCTCCACTTTACTCCGCTGTTTATCGGCGATCTCGTCGACATCCTACAAAAAATGTAAATCATCTTAGACATAATGGTATCAAGAACATTTTAAACAAGTTTCAACTTGGTTTCAAGTAGATCATACCTGTTTAACCATCGACAAGGTAAATCCACAACTTTGTCCAAATTCGGCGCCATTTTGTCATCCCATGTCGCTTGTTAACAATTCAGCCTTGTTACTCTTCCATCCAAGCCATTTCCATTCCACTAATAATAAATTTAACCCTTTATAACAGGATGATGACCAGTGGAAGTATGTTGACGATACAACGGTTGCAGAAACTGTGTTGAAGAATGATGCAAGTGCCATGCAAGAGTACGTCGAAGATCTGTCGAACCAGTCCTTAGCTAACAAATTTCAGTTAAATGAAACGAAGTGCAAAGAGTTACGCATATCCTTCGCGAAGTTTAAGCCCGATTTTGCCCCTATTCGCATTAATGACAAAGACATTGAAGTAGTTACATCGGTAAAGCTATTAGGTCTTAACATCTCAAATGATCTTAAGTGGAATACGCACATTTCTGAGATCGTACGAAAAGTGTCAACTAGACTGTACTTTCTTAAACAACTTAAACGAGCTGGCCTTGCAACGAAAGAGATGCTGCTATTCTACTTAACTTGCGTGCGTCCAGTAACAGAATATGCCTGTCACGTTTTCCATAATTCTCTCACTAAATATCTATCTGATGACTTGGAAAAACTACAAAAACGAGCACTCGGTATCATTTTCCCACATATACCATATTGTGATGCGTTAGAGCAAGCTGGTTTGGACTCCTTGTACAGCAGAAGAGATACTCTAACGAAAAAACTGTTCAACGATATTGTTCAAAATACATCTCATAAACTGCATGCACTGTTACCAGAGAAAAATAGATCTAGTATGAATTTGAGACGTAAGAACATGTTTAACTATCCAGTGTGTAAAACGAACAGATTCCAAAACAGTTTTATTATGGCAAATGTAAAGGAACAATACATATAAATCCAATTGTAGTGTTACGCAATAATAAATTAAAACAAACTAATTTAGGACAGATACATTTTTCATAGTTTTAATCAAATTTTTAAAATTGATATATTTAATTAGTCTTGATTGTAAAGTTTATGTATAATTCAGCTGTGGTTGTATTGGGAGCTGTAAAATTTTAAACTTAATAAACTATCTATCTATCTATATCTATCTATCTATCTAAACTAAAAAATCTAAACAAAATATAAGAAATACGCCATTTTATCACCATGTAAAATTTTGCCCACGAGTCTTTCAAAACATTCCGTACAAATATCGCGTGACAAAGTAACAGGGACGTGACAGGAGGGGGTGAATTATTTCACGAAGATAGAAGAAGGCTGCGTGAAATAGACTAAAAGCTAAATACAATCATACAAATGTTGTTTTATTTCTTGTAGCGACAAATATATACATATTATTATTTATTATAAATATAAAGTCATACAAATTAAATGTTGATTGTTGGTTTTACCATACTGTGTGGGCTTTCCTTTCATTTTCAAGTCCTTACCCCCCCTGTCACGTCCCTGTTGCTAAACCACGCGAGATTTGTACGGCATGTTTTGAAGGACTCGTAAACAACATTTTACATGGTGATAAAATGGCGTATTTCTTGTATTTTGTTTAGATTTTTTAGTTTCCTCCTGTTATAAAGGGTTAAATTTATTATTAGTGGAATGGAAATGGCTTGGATGGAAGAGTAACAAGGCTGAATTGTTAACAAGCGACATGGGATGACAAAATGGCGCCGAATTTGGACAAAGTTGTGGTTTTACCTTGTCGATGGTTAAACAGGTATGATCTACTTGAAACCAAGTTGAAACTTGTTTAAAATGTTCTTGATACCATTATGTCAGAGATGATTTACATTTTTTGTAGGATGTCGACGAGATCGCCGATAAACAGCGGAGTAAAGTGGAGAACTTGGCCAAATACGTCCATTTGCAGGAGGTAGGCACATTTCGAATTATTATTTCGGTCAGAAAATATTAACTATTTTACACCAAACCAGTGATAATATATTTAAATAAGTACCATTTATATTTCTATCAAAAAGATTTAGGGAAAAAGGTAATGTACATGTAAGTCCACTGCTGTTTATCTGAATTTGCAAGCCACAAATTGACGTTTAACTATTATTATTGCATGGCCATTTTCTTGTGAAATATTAGTGCTAGGCATTGAACACTTACCAATGACCACCCCCAAAAGTACCATCTCTGAACCATAGAAGCACCTCAGAATAGCCAAAGCTTTTATGGTTTGGTAGATAGCAGTATGGCGAAAGCGTCGTTTTTGGGTGTGGTCAGTTTCGGACGTTTCGCCCCGGATTGGGGTTCGGGCAGCGTTACCATGTTGACCGTCATGGTGAACTTAGCCTAAAACAGTTGAGATTATCTGTCCTAAATGAAATGCATACAAACTCATATACAGGTCCTAGACTATATGTGGTTGTGAAGCAAATTCACTAGCTAAAGTCGATCGCGTCTAGTTTTGTACGATGCAAGTGAACTAAGCCGACGTTAAAAGAAAGCCGGGTGTTGGTCCACCATGCATAGATATCTTATATACACTAGATAGCGCATCTAGTTATTCTGCAATTCAAAAATTGAAGCCGTGATTGCAGTTTCAGGTCGTTCCCATGAAATGAGAAGATTCGTATATTTTCTATTTCTTAAACAGGGAACTTAAATATTAAGTCAACCCTATTCCAAATACATTTTTAAACTATTCAAATGATGAAAGTTATTGTTATTTTTAAGCGTTTATTAGCGAGTGGGAACGACCAACATGGCCGCCATCTATTCAAATGGGGGTAACCGCTGGAATATTCTTGGCTTCAATTTTACTAATAGAGATGCGCTATCTAGTGTATATAAGATATCTGTGCCACCATCTCAAGACACAAAGACTTCATGAAAGTCTATACAGCTGCCCTACCGCTTGCACGGGCTTTTCACAAGCGGTATACTTGCCCAACTAAGTGTAAAAAACTCAACTTGTTGTGAAATTGAAACTGGTCACTTTAACTTTACCACAAATCGTGATGATTCTGAAAGTTTTAATAATCTTTATTTCCGTTCGTTATTTTCGATTGAGCAATAGGTCCAGCTTACGGCTAAAACATCAACAGGTAAATTTTACGTTCAAGCTCGTTCAAGCCAGGAAACAAATCTGCCTCGTTTCTCCGCAGTTTCACCCGCATACATATCCGTTGCTACTCCTTACTCTCAAAAGACAAATATTTTCTTCAAATAAACTTGCATTGAGCAAGTCTTTTATTCAACTGACGAAGGGTTTTTGCTCCAAGAACTTTTCTATGTCTTTCAGCTTAACCCTATTTGTACCGGGGGTTTTTCATGTTGATATGACCGGGGGTGCGCTGATAGGGCGCACCCCTCAGAAATTCTGTCGATTAACTGCTATTATCCTATAAGTTTTATTTTTAGTAAGTTTTATCTTTCTTTAAAATTAACCTAAAAATAACAAAAAAGTTAAATTCACATCCAAAATGCTGTTTTTTGGCCCCATTGAATATGACCGCCTATCCGAAAATGGCGAATATAGCTAATATTTTACCCATTTTGGTTATATTTTGTAAAGAGATAACAAAACATTTTGGATGTGATATTTTTTGGGTCTTTTACATTCAAAAGACATACTTTTATGTTACAGCATATCTCAGTTGTCCATAAACACCACTATTTTACTTTCCAAGTTGGCATTTCTGTGCCATATGAAAAGACATACAACTGAAACTTACCAGTCTCTCATATAAACAATCCAAATCATTTTCAAGTTTCAACATCACTGATTTTACCTTCATATCTTTGTGACAGTGTCATTGTTGTATAAATAATGTTCCATTATTCTCTTAGTATGCACAATTGTGCATTCTGTTGAAACTCTAGCACTTTTTGGCATAACTTCTGCAGTGTAAACATAAAATTCGACCAACAAAAGTTTGTAGAAAAAATACGAAATGGCAGCCATGTTTTATACCAACATACTATGTGTTACATGAAGTGTAAGGCAGGTGAGCTACGAGATTCGAGCCTGCAGTATAGTTTTGAAAACACAATATTTACTTTGAAAATCATGGCAATCATTATGGATTGTATGCAAATGTTTTACTCTCATTTGGAACTGAATTTCTGGTACGAAAGTGTTCAATATATAATGCATCCTACAAGTTTGATTCTTGCTGAAAGACAGGGAGATGTTCTGCCTTGAAGGTACAAAGAAATATGTATGTGTATTTGAATATATAAAAATATTATAAATAAGTATTTTATATTATATAATAATAAGTATTGTATAGTATGCTATATTATATGTTATACTATATTTTACTATTTTATATAATATATTATGGATATTTTACTTTGCAAATCATGTGTAATAATCCATATTTATATGTTCTCTAATTATATAATGTTATTTATGCCCTGGGAAGTGATTGAAGCCAAAAAATACTGTCCAACCCACATTTACCCATTTTTGGCCCCGACACCTTCTTTGAAAAATGTCGCCAAACGTCCGGATAACTTTGAATTTTCAGAAAAAATTTTTCGCAGTCATGACGGCAGATGAAAAATATTAAAAGTCATGAAAGCACAGGCAAATCGGATCATTTGTTCAGGAATGACGGATAAATATTTATAGGGGTGCGCTCATTGTGCGCACCCCCGGTACAAATAGGGTTAAATGTTTGTCTTGTGCATGCAGTATTTTGCACTGACAACGTTCGAATTCTGCTGTATACCATCTAAAATAATGTTGTTTTCTTCGCAATTTAGCCAACCTTCAACTATAGTTCACCGTACTGGACAAACAAGGCTACTTTTGCAGTTGAAGATGGACTTGAAGGACTAACAGAAAAAGAAAGCAAATTGGCATCTTACTGGAACACTCCTTTTACGAAAATATGTCTTGGTATGACTATTAATGGTAACAGGAGGTGGATGCTGCTAGAATACAAAGCAGATTCCCTTTACAGCGTGATTGCAGACGGTCAATCCAGAAACACAACTGCTGGAATAGAGAATTGGAAATCTCTCATAGCTGGCTCCTTCTTACAACCCTACTGCAACTATGAGAGCTTCAACATAAATTTCATCAACCCTCCAAATTTTTCTCTGCGTGCCCGACTTGGTTTGGCTGCGAACAATCAGGATAATTGTTTGTCCTGTGACTCTTGGATTGGTTTTGGCGTACACTGGCGTAGTAATTGTAAAACAAGTGAAGCATTTCGTGCCTGTGGAAATGCATTCATGTGCGGGAATAATGTTATAGATAACCCAGCATTTGGATATATTTTGGTGCACTAAAACTTTGAGAATTCAAATTAGCATATAATTATATATTCATTGGATTTTCTTAATAGTTAAAAGCAGTGGCGGAAATCTTGGGGAGGGGGGGGGAGGGGGCGGCCGCCCCCCACCTTCACGGAAAATTGATGAATTTTCGGAAAATTTGACCTAAAAGAGGGCTAAAAACAGTCTTTTCGAAAATTGTCGGAAATTTAGGAGGCTTTGCCCCCCCCCCGGAAAAAGTGAATTTCCGCCACTGGTTAAAAGAAACACTAGTTGACGTGTAATGGGATTGTATAATGTTATTGTATAAAACTTCAAATACATTTAATAATATTTTAATGCAATATTTGCCAACTGAAGATTTTGACAGATATACTAAAGAGTCAGATATACTAAAGAGTGCACGAAATAATTTTTTGTATTATTGCAATAAGATCAGTTCGAAATATTTTCGAGTTGGCAGAAGGCCCTTTTTTAAGAATTCGCCAGTGCATGGGGAGGGGGAAAGGAATCTACAGAAAAGGACCATATTGAAATGGGTAAATATCAAGATTTTGTTGCCACCTCACTCGATTCAATAATTTCCATCAACAACACCATGCAACTATATACAGATGGTTGTTCGTGGCATAAAGCCCCTGGCGTGGTGTCGCATGTATAATCTGGGGACATTCTCTTTCAGAAAATTTTAGTATTTTTCCACCCCTAGGACTGCATTTCGTGCGTTTTTGAAACAGAGTTTGGTTATACAGCGCTATATTATTCTATTGTAGATAGACTGAATCTTCAGTTAAGTACTTGCATGGTATGTTTATGTAAATACCGCAACTCAGTCACTAACTTGTTGAATCAAGAGTCCTAATCAAGACCCTTAAAAAGATATTGAATCATTTGAAGATAAAAGACATGACATAAGATTCACAAAGCAGGGTTTAGTTACTAGAATATCAAATCTCCCTTCTAAATTCCATTTTCCCTCCAATGTTTTGCTTATATTTTAGAGGAGACGGACCTTGACTGGGGGGGGGGGGGCTAAATGGTTGAATGAGGGTTAACTGACCCAACAATGTCTTTCGAAAAGTGAAAGAATAATGTCAAACATGAAAATTGAGAGAAACAGTCATTAGTTTTATTTGTTTTGGGGTATAATTTGAACAAAAATGAATGACCAAGGGGCGATATATTTTATACATTTATAAATTTGTTAGCATGCAATACTTTAACCTGTTTGTATATAAATATATTATTAGTTAGAATGCCTTGCATGACTCGCCAAATTCAAAAGAGTCAAAACAATACCAAAATTGAACCCCTAAACTACTTTTTTGCGGTCATTTTGACTCTTTCTAATTTAATTACAGTGTATAAATGTACAAAATGGTTTTCTATAACTGAGTACTTCATGTAAAAAGAATATAGGGGATCTTGAAAACTACTGTATAGTTATTTTTTGTTAGGAAAGGAAGATTAATTGATGAATATATACACTGGAAGGAGATTATAAAATGTAGAATAAATTTTAGACAATTTTTTCTCATGGCTGACAATCATGAGTATATTTTTTCTTTAATTAAAGTTTTATAACAGACAACGCATTGTTCTGACCTACTTACATACAATTTTGGAAAAATTTCAATGATTTTCCCATTTTTAGCTGAATTGCTACGTAAGATTAATTGGCATACTCACTACATCACACAAACCCAATTCAAGCTTTTTATTTATATATGTTGACATACGGAGTTACCGATCGTAAACTTGCACTAGAATTTATTGCAAACTTCCATCTCCTATCAGTGATTTTGGGATTATGTGAGATGAGCGCAAGCAAATTTAGTCGCACATGCGCTAGCCTGTGTACAGCCGTTACTCTCGACGAAGCGCGCGAGAGAACGTCTGTGAGTTGGATGCATAATCCTTGTTCAGGTCACGTGGATAGTTCCCAGATATGGGGACCGCCTCTGATTGGACAGTGCTTTATTTGAATAATTTATGACAAATGAAGCTATTTCATTGGTTAATTGATAATTAGCATGCGTTTAAAATAACAACACAACAATTTTAAAATTCCAGATCAAGAATCAAGATTTCCTTCGGGGCATACAAAGGTTTGAAAGACTTGAAATACAATCTGTTGAGTTTAATTTTGTGCTGTATCGAAGTTTAAGAAAATCAAGATAAAATTCTTAGTGTTTGGACACAGGCTACACATGGCTACACATGCGCAAAATATCAATCTTTTTACGTGCTGACTAGACACGTTACACACATGTTACACCACACGTTACACAATAATCTGTAGTAAAACATATAGAGATATGACACGTTACACCCATTATTTTTAAAAAGAGACATATAGTACTAGTTCTTCTTTTATATAAAATTGGGTGTAACGTGTCATATATATTTCTATATATTTCACTATAGATTATTATGTAAAGTATGTGTAACGTGTGTGTAACGTGTCAGCGTTTGCTTAATTAAAGCAAGTGCATAAAATTTACATGAACTAATCACTTTAGATTAGTTGGTGAACATCCCACAAGCACAACAGCTTATACTGCAGTATCTGCAGTATAAATGACACTTGTGTCTTACCTGGTCTTACTAAATCGCAAAGTATTTTAATAGATCGTATTCAGCCTACAACTGACTTTGCCCGCCCATTTTCCCAAAGATTTTTCTCTAGTAAGTAAATGCATAGTAAAAAAAAATTAATTTCGTTAGAAAAACTTTATCCTCCTCCCCAGGCCCAAGCTCGGGCGGCCCCACTGTGAGGGCCACCCGAGCTTGGGCCTGGGGACGAGGATGAAAAACTTATTTATTCTTGCCCAGTAGTCCCCCGCGCAACCTCCTTGCGGAATTTCTATACTTTGGGGGACAAAAAACTTTCGGTTAATTGATTGAAATATGTCAATTTCCCTAAATGTCAACTTCACCGCTAGAGTTTGGCAAAATTTCAAATTTTGGACAGCTAACCCCCAGACCGGCTCGATCTCAGACAATCGCGTGCAAAAATAATGAAACTTTTGATATTTCGTTCTATTTCTGTGATTACTCCCCCCCCCCTCCCCGCTATTCTATTTCTGTGATTACTCCTCCCCCCTCCCCGCTATACAGCGTTACATTATACTGTACGTAGATAGACCTATATAATAAAACATTTATCCCTCGCTCGCCGTTGTTACCTTCGGCTTTTCCTTGGGCAATTAACAACGGCGGTCTCGAGTACACAAAACACGCTGGTTCCCTCGGTCTCAGTAAACAAGTGATAAATGCATTTCATTGCGCCATCCGCATTTTATTCTTTTTTTCCACAATCAGGATTTTATTCTTTTTGTCCGCCATCCGCATCTAATTTTGTCCGTTTGTCTGCGTTTTATTCATTTTTGTCCGCCCGTATCCGCGCTTTATCCAATCTGGTACTTTGTTGCACACCAATCTTGACATTACTCGTGCCAGTCCCCTCGCGAACTATGTATAGTGTGCTTGAATCGAAAATTTTGGATGTCAAATTTTGAGAACAATGGAATGATGACGTTTTGTGACGTATTGTTCACTCTAAAATTTAAAGTTACATACTCCAGATTGTTTACGGAAGAAATATTAATCATCCGAACATAGTCCGAACACCCATCACGGCGATGGCATTTTCTAATTCTAAACTAGCAGACGACAAGGGATTCAAGGGTTGTTCACCATTTACATGGAAAACCCATCCGGTTTGAAATTGTGCTAATGGTAAGCAAAATTTCGGATAGAAAATCCCATTCGGATTATGCGCTTTCCATTTAGAGTGACTGACCGGAAGGCACTGAAGGGTTTTACCATTTACATGGAAAACCAATCTCGTACCCAGAGCAATGCCTGTGCGCGGGCTAGGATGGCATTGGCTCTGGGGAAATTGAATTTTTCCTGTGCTGTGATTGGTTTAACGTTTATCAATCGTGCATGCCGACAAAGAACCGGAACCCCTAAATTTAGGGGTTCCGGTTGTCAATTTCCCCAAAGTCAATGCTATCCTAGCCCGCGCACAGGCATTGCTCTGGGTACGAGATTGATGGAAAACCCATTCGGTTTGAATTAAATCGCGAAGAGCCTGGAACTGGTGAAGAAATAAAAAAGATGTAAATGGAAAAATTCACCGGTTGAAACGTTCCAATCGGTAAGAGAGGACAACCTTTTCAAACGAACCGTTTATTCCGGAAAAGTTCCGGTTGGGACGTCGAAATATACTTGTTCCATTTACTTTCCATATGGAATCACCGGAATTTCCATGTAAATGGTAAACAGCCAAGGTTTTCGCCGAATATTCTTCAAGCTGCAAGAAATATTATCTTTATTAGTTTTTATTAAGGTAAGATGAAAGTGTAAATTTATTTCGCTATGCTTTAAAGCGAACAATGACTTTTGTTCCACGACTTTTAAGGGCAGCTTTCTTTTTTTAGGTGCATATTGTTTGCGGAAATTGTTGGCGCTCGCTGAATAGTGAATACCAACATTGGCGTACATGCACCCTGCAAAGCTGTGCAAAAATAGTGGAATGCAGACTCAATGCACTCTGGTCGCTGATCGGTTTGATCTGACTTTCATGTCGGGTGTTTACACGTTTTCAAACAAAAATTAAACGAAGCCATTGCTCGTTACAAACGAAGGCATTGTGCTCGCTGATCAATACAAACGAAGAATTGTTGTGTCTGTTGGCTGTGAACAAACAGAAAGTTTATACAACAGTGAACTGTAAAAAATACTGATTACTGAACGAAGCGCTGTGCTTGTTTAGACAACCAGGAGACAACCTTGCGGTGAGTAACAATTGAGGGGGGCATTGAGAATATTTAATGATTTAATGAGAGTATAAACAACTGAGCAATAATATCGTGCCCGACTTTGCCCGACTAGGAAATACTTCCAAAAACTTTTCAACCCGACTAGAACAGAAGAAGATAACTTTTAGTTATATAAATGTTATTTCAGGTGGTTATAAACATCATTGTATTGATAATATTAGTGCAAGTATCTCACTTGTCTTGAGTATACTTGTGTATGCCAACAATTGGCAGAACATATTGCACGTTTTAGTCAAGTTATATATAGTGTCATTTTATACTCAAATGTCATGCCAGATTATACCGGTATTCCACTGTTGCTGAGAATGGCAAATGATGTTGAGGAAAATATTTATGTACGTTTTTATGCGCGAATCAAATCGAAACCTTGACATCCCCCCCCCCGGGCATACCTGGGAAATTTGCTTGTTTAGTATTTGAAGAAGGCGGGAATTTGCCCTTTTTTCTAGTGGAAGGTGGGGAATTTGCTTAGGGCGGTCCGCCCTCAAACTCCCCCCGGAAATACGGCCAAAGCTCTGCTGGCTAGTCGGGAATTTGAATTTTTCTTTTAAACACGTGTGCTGAATCCAAAATGGCGCCAATGACAATGGATGAGTTCAAGTGCGAAGAAATTAACTTTTTGGCCACAAGAAAACGGCTTTGAACGATTGAAGAGAGTTTCTGAAGGAAAGAAAAACTTTGTAATTCCAAAATTACGAAATGCTGTAGCTTCGAATTCGTACATGGGGTGGGGTATTTGAACTCCAATTTTTCACAATACACCACGTATTTGAACGGGAATTACAAATATATATGTAGGGAATTTGACCTGACCAAAACGTCAAAATCCAAATTCCCGGGGGTATGCCCAGGGAGGAGGGGTGTCAAGGTTTCGATTTCGGATTCGCGCATTAATAATTGATAATCAGGCTTAATTAGATTCCTATAGCAACCCAGTGTGAATTATTGTCTGCATATATTATGCACCAGTCAATGTACCCCCCCCCCCAACCGGGGAGGGGCGGGGATTTTGACTTAGCGGGGTAGTAAAAGTGCGAAATTGTCCCCGCCCATGGGGAAATGGTAATTAGTCAATGTCCCCGCATGTCTCTCAACCCCGGGAAAATAGTTTTGTATATTTCATAGATCAGCAATAGAAAATCAAATGCATTTATGTTATTGTATTTAAACTTTTCTTGTAAAGAAAACTAAAACAGCAATACAGGTTATATATGTTAACCACTGAATCCATTCCCCCGCTTTCGTCCCCGCATCGTCTACCGAAAGAGAAAATGTTGTCCAAGTCCCCCATTATCGGGGACATATTTACAATCAAAACTGACCACGTTCCCCGCTAAATTCCCGCCCCCTCCCCGGTTGGGGGGGGGGGGGCGAGGATTTACATTGACTGGTGCATTAACTTAACTATACCAGCAGTAATAGCATGTCAACCGACTTTTGTATGGCGGTCTGTTTATTCTCCGAGATATGTCCATTGTTAGCATAATATGAAATAATTCTACCAGCCTATTCATATGTTCATCTGACTGTGTCACTATACATTTCCGCGGGTATACTATATTTTTCGATAATGCTCACAATTTATTTCTTATTATATAGTTTTGCAGTTCTGACTGAATACAATCTTAATCATTACAATGAATGCTGTTATCTGAAGCTGATGTATTAATTAAACAAAAATGTCAACAAGGGTAGCCTTGAAGGTGCCATTAGGACAAAAACTGACTTAGTATTTCTATATATGATATTATACAGTATTCAGTGGCAAGCTAGCTATGGCAACTGGTCATGCTATGCTAATAAACCTGCATCATTTGAATAATGCAAATAATAAATTTGCATAGCATGACCCAGCTGTTGCTATGGCTAGCTTTGCCACAGACAGCGTTATAATTATACATACAAAAGTAAGAAATTATAAGCATTGAAGGTATTCATGCATATTATACCGTCCATGCAGGCCAGGCTAAGAAAGTAGAATTAGAATATTTAGCTGACCTTCGACTTTGTGCAAGGTGTTTGATATTCAAATTGCATTTTCCCTACTTCCTTACGGGCTATTTACATGTTGGAAGGTGGGGTGATTTTGATGTATTGAAAAAAGACTAAACAAAAGTTTAAATGCTGGTTAACAGAACTCAAATGTTGTACAGAAGATCTTGCAGTTCAAGAAGATTATTATCGCCAGGGGCATCGGAACGGTAAAAGAGGCACACTTTGCATCCACGGAAGGCAGGTGATGACAGGTAACAGTGTAGGGGGGTCCTGCACAACCTTCATTTACATTTCTATATTGAACCACACTTGCAAGATGGCGAATTTGCGTGTGCATTTTTAAATCAATTTTTTTGGAATAAGATTTGGTTAACGTTGACTGACCTATGACAAATATTGTGGCCTAATACACGAAGAAAAGAATCATCGAAGAAATATAAAGGAAATCAACCGATTGAGCGTTGAAAAATCAAGTATGGCTTTGGCTCTCACAACACGTGTCGATCTATCATTCTCGCGCTACCAATTCGACGAATTCAAGAAAAACACTAAAGCCCGTCAAGTTCCTTTCGAAGAAATAGACTATTCGATATACAAAACAACCTCCAACTGTATCGCTTTTACTACTAGCGAAGAAAGAATTACCACGTGGATTAAAACGTTTTATCTCCGCTATTGTGCCGAAGCAATCAAAGATGGCGGCACAACACTTAAGTCAACATGGGATGAAACACCAGCTCAAAACGATGCGACCAAATCGGAAAAGATATCCATTACATTGTCGACTGAGGACGAGAAAACTCAAGTAAACATTGTCACTATAATAATCTACTGCAGTACTGGACGAATCCAGATTCAAGGTAAATCATTACGTGTTTGGGGTGACAGTGAATTCCCTATCATCAAAGATCTCGTCGACCAAAACGTTAGAAATACATCAAATTTCACATCATCAAAGAACATACAATCTTTCCTAAAAACTGTCTCGCAACCCCCAATGGAAAATGAATGTGACGTAACAAATCCAGCAATTATCACAGTCACAACCGAAGACCTCCCTCCTCTTTCAAATCCTTCAAACCCTTGCTGTGAAAAATCCCTTACCACCATGAAAAATAACATGGCGGACCTCGAATCGAGCTTTGTATCCTTCAAGCAAGAGATCTTCAAATCATATGAAGACCTTAAACATGATCTAACATCCAAAGATAAAGAAATTAATATGTTAAAGAAGAGAATTGGCAGTCTGGAAGCAACAAATGAACTACTGCGAAAGGATAATATTGAACTGAATAGCTTATCCAAAAAGCAGAAACAAATTGAGAAAAAAGTTAGTAACACCATTGACCAATATAATAAACTCAAGAAAAATAATGAAGAGAACCTTACCCCCCAAAAAGAAGAATCACCCCAATATTCCGCGTCAACTGAAAATGTTATACCCAACATTCCTACCCACAATATTTTTTCTCCCCTTAACGAGGAAAATCCCAACCATGACATCTCAATTAATATATCACAAAGTTTGCAAGGTGAAACCAAGAAGGCCTCACCCAAAACATTAGACGCAGAAACAGTCATCCTATGTGACTCAAATGGGAGAAAACTCGACCCCAAACTGCTCTGCCCAAATTCATCCACCGAATACCTAAAATGTCCAACTCTAGAATCAGCAAATCAACTCATAAACCAATATGAATTCAAACAAACCAAGACCTTCATTGTTCATGTTGGTACAAATGACATTGAAAAGCTCCCAATTAACAAAGTCACAGACCAGACAAGATCTCTTCTTACCTCAATTGGAAACAAAAATCCTGAGGCACGGATCCTGCTATCAAATCTCCTCCCTCGTAGTGATGAACTCCTCCAAAAAGCACAGAACCTGAACAGAAACTTCCTCCAAATCCCTACCGAATTTAAAAATGTTACCAACATTGAACATACAAACTTGTTCCAGTCGACATCGATCTTATATGATAAAAAACACCTTAACGACAAAGGCATCAAGATATTTGCTAAGAACCTAAAGAGTGCATTCTTTGGAACGCAGAAGACCCATCGACACATCAAAACCAAACGACAGTTCCACCCAGATCCAAATAAACCATTCCTCCCAAATCCACTACTCCACTCAAATCCACTACTCCACCCAAATCCACTACTCCACCCGAGTCCACTACCCCACCCAAGTCCACTACTCCACCCAAATACATTCCCCCCTTCACACTTCCCCAAACCATACTACAATACTCCACCATTCCAAAACTACGACCATCACTTCCCACCAATGGAAAGAAATACAAATCCAAACAGCCAGAAAATATCATCAGAAGATGCCAAAAATCAAAAGATCACAGAAATTGCAAAGCTCCTCTATGGTCTCTTTCAATGAAATAAAAAAGGTTGTAAGTAACAAAACACACTTTTCTTAATATATATATAGATTTGTAAATATATAATCTCTAGCACATAACATCTGTCATAGGTCGGTCACCTTCTCCAATCTTTTCCTAAAATCCAAATTGACCAAAATTTACTCAAATGTACTCCAGGCTATCATTTAGTGCTTAGAATATAAATGGCCTGAAACATAACACTATCGGTAACAAGCTTACCAATGGTGATTTTGTACAAAATATAAAAGATCATGACTTAATCTTCTTGACTGAAACATGGTCCAAAGAGACAAACAGTATTCCTGGTTTCAAGGCAGTATCTACCATTACGGCAACTCCCAGATCCAATCGTAGTTGCCGTTTGTCTGGTGGAATTTCAGTCTTGTTTAAAAAACAATTGGAAACCTTTCTCTCAATTGAAAAACAAACAAAAAAATTCTTATGGTGTCGGATAGATCGTACAATTCTAAACCGAACAAAAGATCTATTTGTTTGTGGAGTCTACATTCCGCCAGAAATGTCTCCATACTTTGATGATGAAATATTTGAAGAACTGGAAAATGACATTTTGAATTTCTCCAAAAAAGGAAACATAATGATGTTAGGGGACTTTAATGCCCGTACCAGCAATCTGAAAGATTTTGTATCAAAAGAAGGCAACACCTTCATAAATGACATCTCTGAAACATCTTTTGAACCAAAAATCAGAGAAAGTTTTGATAACTCTACTAACCAGCATGGTAAAAGTCTTATTGAAATTTGCAAAAATTGCAACATGAGAATTCTGAATGGAAGAACTCTGGGTGACTCGTTTGGTAAACCCACTTCCCATCACAAAAATGGAACTAGTGTAGTTGACTATATAATCTGTGACCAAGAGCTTACACAAACCATCGAAAACTTTATTGTCAAACCACCAACCTACTTATCTGACCACAGTCAAATTGTGACGTGGATCAGAACAAAGCAAAATATTAACTCAACTAGCAACATAACTCCGACTCCCACATCTACTACTCATAAACTCCCTTATCAATTAACATGGGAAAATAATTCGCCGATCTCATTCACTGAAGCTTTAAAATCAGTCGAAATCCAACAAAAACTGGAAAGTTTAATCATGTATGACACTCCCCTCACGCTTCCAGAATGCATGGAAGATATTATTTTACATGTCGGAAAGAGTTCCCTCCAAATAAAAAAGACCAAATTCAGAAACAAAATATCTAATGTCTGTAATAAGAAATGGTTTGATAAAGAATGTCGTTTAAAAAGACATTCAGTTAGGAAACTTGCCAACCGAAAACACCGTGATCCCCTTAATAACGACATAAGAAACGAATACCACCTTGCCCTCAAAATTTACAAAAACACGTTAAAACGTAAAAAAGAACTTTTTCATGAAAAAAAAACTAGAAGAACTAGAAAGAGTGTCTGAAAATGACCCCAAAGTCCTTCTGGAAAGTACTTAAGAACATGAGTGATGAACTCGAAGACTTTCATTTAACAAGCCGGATGTTACAGCCAGCATAGGCCCTGAATAGATTAATATCTTACAAAGGCTTAAAACTCTTGAAATGGAACCCACAAATAATTTACTCGATGAAACTATTTCAGAATACGAAATTATCAACGCTGCGAGGAAATTAAAAAACAACAAATCCGCATACTCCGATAAAATAAGAAACAAAATGCTCAAATACAGTACAAACATACTGTTACAAGGATACAAAAACTTTTTAACCTCATACTAGAAACTGGTAGCTTCCCAGATCAATGGTGTGAAGGTCTGATTACGCCAATCTTTAAGTCTGGCGATAAAACTAACCCCAACAACTACAGAGGAATTTGTGTGACAAGCTGTTTGAGAAAATTCTTCTGTATTATCCTTAATGACCGCCTAAGCAATTTTAGTTACCAACAAAGCTTAATACATCCATCGCAAATTGGATTTCAGTCAGGCCACCGAACTACAGACCATATTTTTACTTTGAAAACACTAATTGACAAACAAGTAGAACAAAATAAAGATAAAATTTATGCATGTTTCGTGGATTTTAAAAAAGCCTTTGACTCTATTTGGCACGAAGGTCTTTTTTTGAAATTACTTGAAAATGAAATTGATGGTCAGTTTTACGTACTATTTAAAAAACGAGCAGGAGTGTTTTATTAGGTTTAAAGCCACGAGCGTGCAGCGCGAGTGGCTTTAGACATAATAAAACACGACCTGCGAGTTTTTTAAATGGCTTCAAAAACGTTTGCATAATAAGTCAAATCTTTATATAAAAATCTTTATATAAAAATCTTTATATATATAAAAATCTTTATATAAAAATCTTTATATAAAAATCTTTATATAGTTTGCACAACAATGGTCTTTTGTTAAAGTGTTCTTTAGCTGGTATAAAGACGTATGCACGTGACTAAGTTTCTTACTCAAGATTGGATAATTGCTTCATGAATTATTAATGAGTTTTTGAAAGTCTTATAAAGAGTCTTTATTCTAACTCGAAATGTGCAATCAAACAAAACAACATCAGAACCGATTTTTTCACTTATTCTAACGGTGTACGTCAAGGATTTATACTAAGACCCCTTCTTTTCAATATTTATATTAATGAAATAACGACCTTATTTAAAAACACCAATTCGGACCCATTTATACTGCCTAACGGAACAGAACTGAGCTGTCTTCTTTATGCAGATGATCTAATTATACTATTTAAATCAAAATTCGGCCTCCAGAAGTGTCTGGATAAACTCCATAGCTGGAGTAAGAAGTGGCTAATGGAGGTAAACCTAAAGAAAAGCCAAGTTATGATTTTTGAAAAAAGGAAAACAAAAAAAGCGAAACCAATTTTCACACTACGAAATGAAAAGATATCCGTTGTACAGGAATGCTGTTACCTAGGCATAAAGCTAATCACAATGGTAATTTTTCCTTGGCTATCAAACAGCTGAATGAAAAAGCCCTGCATGTGCTTTATAGCATCAGAAGACGGCTCAACCTACACCAACTTAACCCCAAATCTGCTATTAAAATTTTTGACAGCATAATTAGCCCCATTCTTCTGTACAATGCAGAAGCTTGGGGTGTATATATCAAAAACGATTTTATCAATTGGGATAAACTGCCGGTTGAAAAAGTACACCTAAAATTCTGTAAGCTCTACTTGGGCGTTGGCAGAAACACGAGTAATATCGCCTCAAGAAGCGAACTTGGAAAATATCCATTAATTATCATTGTATTCAAAAGAATCTTTAAGTACGTCACTCATCTTAACTCACGTCCTGAAACAACCATTTCAAAACAAGCTTTCCTCATATCAAAGATTTATTTATTAAAAAGAGCAATTCTTTCTATGGAAAGCAATAGATATAGTAAGAACCTTAAATTATAATAGAGCAATCCCAGACATAGATTCACTTACAACCAATCTAGTTGAATCATGCGTTAAAGATACTAAAGAAAACTACCAGAGATTCTGGAGACATAAATTTGAAAACTCATCCAAACTTACCTTCTACACAAGCATAAAGGAAGACTATGAGCTTGAAACTTACTTGACTACCATAACTAATTCAAACCAAAGAAAACGTTTAAAACAGCTCCGACTAAGTAACCATAAACTAATGATTAAACTCGGTAGATACGAAAACATTCCACGAGAAGATCGAATATGCAAGGTCTGCCAGGCAGGAGAGATAGAAACGGATCATCACTTCCTAACATCCTGTGAAGCCTATAGTAGTTTTCGAGAAAACTTTTTAAATAACTTGGAAAGTGATCCCACCAATGAAACAGATTTAAACGAATACAGTTTATCAGTTGAGATAATGAAATCAACTGATAAAGAAACTCTGATAAAATTATCAAAATTTATCTCTTTATGTTTTGAGAAGAGATCTAAATGCCTTGAAGCTCGGAATGCTGACAGTCAATAGGCTATCGAACTAACTCCCACACTTCTTCAATTACATATATACTGTAAATAGAGTATTCATTTGTTAACTATGCCTTTCTTTATAACAATAACTTCATTTTTATTTCTTGTATTACTCATAGTGTCATATTACCACAAAACATTTTGCATTTGTAAATATTTATAATTAACTAATAAGCTTTAGCAATACTTGTATGTGAAGTCATGCTAATAAAGCCATTTGTTACTGTTACTGTTACTGTTACTGTTACTGTTACTGTTACTGTTACTGTTACTGTTACTGTTACTGTTACTGTTACTGTTACTGATACTGTTACTGTTACTGTTACTGTTACTGTTACTGTTACTGTTACAGTGAGACTTATAGTTATACAATGCTTGAGCTGAAAACTTTATTTAAAAACATTGATCCCGTCAACAGAAGCTGTTTTTAACGAATGGCGTGTACAAAAGAAGTGTACAAATACAAAATATATTTCGAAGATATAAAATATAGCTTGTATTAAATTAAATACAAAATACATTATTAAGATACAATATAACATATATAGTATTAAGATATCAGATAAAATATCTCACCTTGTTTTTTCGGACCACCTTAACCCTACAATAGTACGAAATACCAGTGCCGGATTAACCATATGGCAGAAGCGGCATATGCCACGGGCCCCGCGCTTTTGGGGGCCCCGCGCTTCTCTCTTCTATTTTTTTCTGAATTTTTTGTTTTCTGTTTCAGCGCGGGGCCCAAACAGTGCGCCAGAGCGGGGCCCCAAAGAGCCTAAGTCCCCCAGAAAACTCGAGGCCCCAAAAAATCAACCCCAAACGTTTTCTTTTTGTTACCTGTTTTGAGTGTTTCAGCGCGGGACCCCAAAGAGCCCAGGGTCCCCAGAAAACGTTATAGACCTCCAAAATTTGAAAATGGAGGCCCCAAAGTGTGGGGCCCCAGACCATTTTTTTGTTCCCTGTTTTAGAGCGGGATCCAAACAGCGCGGGGCACTAAAGAGTCCAAGGCCCCAAAAAGCGAAACCCCAAACTAAAAAAAAACCCGCGAGGCCCCAACGTTAAAAAAAGCGAGGCTCCAAAAGCAGGCCCGCAAACACAAATTTTTTTGTTCCTTCTTTGGGCAAGGGGCTCCAAAAAGCGATCGCAAGGCCAGAAATTTATAGAGTTCAGAAAATATCAAAATTTGCAGCAAACTGTTACATCTAAATGATCGCTGAATTTCGTGGAAGACGGCAGAAGTTTATATGGACGCTATCATGTTTAGCTATTTTCCCCTGTAAATAATAATAATGTTAATAGTATAAACTGGGTTGAATTTCAGTTCGATCAAATTATTGATGTATAATTCTTTCTTTTTCTGTAAATAGACAGGAAACTTTTCAACGCATGAAATACAAAAGGATATTTTTAAATCTTACTGAATTCAGGGTCTAAAATGCCGTTGGGTAGTTTGGGGATCAAGGGGCCCAGCTCCAATAATATGCCACGGGCCCCGCGGAACGTTAATCCGGCCCTGCGAAATACCTGCGGGAGGAATCTGAACTTGAATTCTGCCGCAAATATTTCAAATAAGACACGTGCACGGTCACACAACACATGCTTAGTATTCTGGAATCTCAACTATTGCAAGGGCTAAACCACTGATCTCTCAATTATACAAACAATCCAGTACGAATGTGAGCACAAATTAATCGAACGAAAACACTCTTTATGCTTTATTCAATTCAAAAAGTCTTTTTATTAAATCAAAAGATAAAAATACATATCTTATGTTACAAGTAAATATTAAGAATACATTAGTAAAGTTTACATCATATAAATAGGTTATAGTTAAAAATTAATCTATTTGCAAACGACAATTTAAAACGTTCCGTGTTCACTCTTGGATACTGACTAAACTCTGTCCTCAAAGAGTAGCTTGTGGATTTTTTTCTTGGTATCAAGTCGACTATGGCACTCTTCTGATTTACAGAAGCTTTAAAAATATTTCTGTCCTGTATTTCTAAAAGATATCTAATATTTACAGGTTCTGATATATACTTTCGCTTAAAACATCTGTCAAAAAACCGTTGTAGAGTACTGAGTTCGGCTGGAGAAGAACCGTAGACAGACATGCCAAACGTTATAGCAGATATTCCTAGGATCTTAAATAGATAATCTATCTCACATTGGCTATAGCCTTCTGCCCTGAGTGTTCGTATAACGTACAAGCATTTGTTTGCTTTGACCAATTTACCTCGCACATGACTGGTGAACTTGAGATTGTCTTGAAAAGTAGTACCTAAAATGGGAAGTTCTTTGCATTGGGGTATATTATAAACATTGTCGAGTTGATCATTATATGATAATCCTTCTTCCGGATGATAAGCTCTTTACATTTACCACGGTTACAAGTCATAAAATTATCGTCAGACCAGCTTAGGAATTGTCCAACTATATCTGTTGATGTATCAGGACCGTCACTCCAAACTGGCACTATTATATTTGAATCGTCCGCATATTTAAAAAGAGCGTTCTCACCGTCTATGTCACCTCTAAATAATTTAGGAAAATATTAAAAAGGTAGGGGCCACTTACGCTCCCCTGTGTTGTACCCTTATTAACATCCATCCATTCTCCGCAAAAATCGTTACAAACGACTCTTTGCTTTCTATTCTTTAGAAAATTTAAATACCAATTTATGATATAAGGGTTGAGTGGCACATTTTTTAACTTTTCCGAGAGGAGTGAATGCATGTTTCACGGAGTCGAAAGCCTTGCTAAAATCCATAGAAAACGGCAGTCTAACTGCTTTGCAGTCCGCTCTATCTAAGAAGCTGAGTACTTTGTTCTGAATAGTCAACAGAGCGTTTGTACAACTCCCCCCTCCCTGCCTGTACGCAAATTGCGTCGGGGGATATAATTAATTCGTCTTCAGTCGTATCGAACAACATATTTTCACTCTTTTCTCTCCTATTCTATTTGAGTAAATGTTGCACAATCCTTCGATAGGAACAAGACTCAGTCCCGAAATCACTGATGACATACTCGAACCGACCTGACCGCGTAGCTCAGTTGGCAGAGCATTCAGCATTGGGCTATTATTCCAAAGGTCGTAGGCCACCGTGGCCAGGCATAATTTTCAAGCGTGCCCGGTGTGTATATACACTTAGCCTATAAGTAATAGCATGCATAACAAGACGCCTGCTCAGGCGTTCACACTGACCTGAAAATGACGACATTACGTGCTATGGTGCATGCAGTAGACAAGAATATATACAAGTCGTAAACCGCGAGCAAATTGTATGGATTTAAAAAAAAATAAAATTCGGGAGCCTATGGTGCAAATCTATAACTAGGAGTTACTATCGCAAGGAAAGTGCTGCCTTTTTGCCACATGAACTGAATGCAAAAGTTCGTATTTCTAAACAATTCTTTAAATTAAAGGGAAGTTTACTTTTGACGCAATGGCATCATTTCCACGTTTCATCATTGGTAGAATGGCAGGCCTGCACATGAAGGTTATATCCCATATGTTTCCTGCATGCACAAATTTGTTTCTCGTTCATCATTTAAGCCCAATCATGCACTGTCAAGCTTATTCTTAAATTCTGTGCACGGAATACGACTAAGTAACCAACATGAAAATGAGGCCATTGGGTCAAAAGTGGATATTAATGTCTACTAACCTATTACCTGGTAATGCACAATATTTTCAGTAATAACTCTGACTAACACCAGACAAGTTTATACCGTGTACCGCCAGACGATTTTACTTGTCAGTGGTAGAGTACTGCCAGTAAATGGTTTAAAAAACACAGTCTGCCAATGTCTTTTATTAACTCATTAGCTAGCAATGCACCCTACTTTAGTATTTACTGTCTATCTACTTTAGTATTTACTGTATAAACAATTCCACTGCCTGTAAAGTACTGCCTGTAAATGGGTTAATTTCGCGTCAAGCCCCAATTCAAAATTTGGGGGGGGGGGGGTCAAATTCCGTCAAAACATTACACAAACCAAAACAATCATATATTTTAATACTCACCGCTTGGCCAAACATTCTGTAGTTCGCATCGAGAAAAAAAACTTGAATATCTTCTAAACTCTTCAGAATTTGTTCAGAGTCAATGTGAATAAAATACGTCTTGTATTCAAGCGCTTTCATGTACAAAGTTTCGTTTGAATACGGCACAGAGTAGAAATATTCATTTTGAATTTTTCAAAATATCGGATTTTTACTCGCACACACGCGCCACGTTGATGCTTGGCCATATTTTATAGCCCGATCGATGCACGTGCAAACCTTGCCACTGGGAGTACTTTGACCTACAGAATCGATTTCCGGTTTTTCAGACCCCTACGATTTAATTAAACAGCACATTGTTTTGACGCGCTAAAAATATAAATATTCTTTAATACCGAAATAAAAGATGAAAATCTGAAGACACAAGCTTGAAAATAACACTATAAATAGTGTTTTGGATCCTGGTTCCAATAATACTATCACGAAAAAGATATGTCCAAAGGGGCCAAAGTTTATATGTTCGGCGAATTGACGAAATGTATGGCTAGTTTACATTGTTCCTTAAGCCCCGTTTACACGAGCAAATTTTATTTGACAAATTTCATATGACAAATGCATTTGATCATGGTTGAAATTGTCACAAATGCATCATCCACACGAGCAAAATATCTTTGACATATGAAATTTGTCAAAAAAAATTTGCTCGTGTAAACGGGGCTTTATATTATGAAATATGATACCACCATACCTTACTTGTATTAAAATTCGCGTCGAACTAATGTTATTGTATTAGGCAAATAAGAACCATACAATAAATGTTTTAGTCCTTGTTGGTATTTTGAACGCACGCTTTATCTTTACTGTAGCTACCACAAAGCTTTTTGCGCGGATTATATTTCGCGCAGTACTAAAATTTGCGCAGCCAGTGGCCAGCGCTACACGAATTCTAGTACTGCTGACTGCATGAATTTTAATACATGTAAGATATATTGTCGACATTTGGCTAAAACTATCGTAAGGAATTAGGAGATTTTGTTTAATTAAAACTACGTTGTGCAGTCAAACTGTCAAAATTTGCAGTAATAAATTTACGTGGTGTTTCCACAAACAAAACTATTATATGTTTTATCGCCATGCAAACGTGCAAATAAAGAACTTATAACTTTATAATTAAAATTATCTGATGGCAATCATAGATGGATTTTCTGGGGGTGCAGGTGATGCATGCCTCCCCGCCCAATAAATATTTTCATCCGCTCAGAACGTCTTCCGACCCGACCTCGAGAAACGTACACCCCCCGCCCCCACCGAAATTTAAATGCTTGTTCATTTAAATGATTGTAGTATGAGTGAACAATGATTTTGAACTAAATAAGCTAAGACTAATAAAACAAAAATCTCAAAAGTCATTGCCCCTTATCCCAACCCTGCTGAATCTTACTCAGCATGCTACGTGCCCACCACTTACTCCCCTCATGACATTTTCTGCACACCCCCACCCCACTCAGAGCAAAATCTGAAAATCTGTGTATGATGGTGATGATAACATGCTCCACTACATCATTAATTACAACACTTAATTACAATACATTTTAGTTTTAATTTTTAATTATATATTAGTCACTGTTAATAATTCCATTGAAGAAATCCAATAAAAATAGTTTGTGTCTTTAATAATTTCCATACATCTTGCTTGGTACATTATTTTTACCACCCAGATCAGGTTTAACCCTTTAAGTGGCAATGCGCCCTGATACACCCTACTCTTCAAGCGGAGAGTACTGCCACTCTATGGGTTAATTGGGAAACGAGAGTGAGTCGGCCAAATGCCAAATTCACAATTGTACATGTTATAAATGGTGTCCCAATTGTGAGATAAATCTGGAATAAACAAGAATACACCATATGTTGTAAAGTACGTTGAGCACAAAAATGATTATGGGGAAAAACAAAATCAATGTGACCCGACTCCAAACTAACTCCAAACCAGAGACGCCAGAACCATCGGCGATGCAATTATCAGGCTTAATGGTATACCAATCAAAAGTAGCCCTAAACGTTGGCAAGTATACAAGGTAGAAATTACCTTGCCAGACAGGAATAGCATAATTTAAAGTTAGGAGCGGTGAAAATTAGGGGGTTGAAAAATTGAGCCTCGGAAATGACATACTCTGGCACCGAGTTGAAGAATTTGGACGGCAAAAATGCTACAAAAAATGCTCCAGCCTACAGCATGGATTTGCGGCATGTAGATTAAACAACTCTCATAGCAGAAATTCGGGACCGACCTTTGATAGATATTAGATACAGTTTCAAAGAAAACTGGGCTAATGCGCGTCCCGCCCCCGGCCAGTATATCTTCCAAAAATTATACGATACAGAAAGACAAACCATTTCATTTTCAGAATAGTGATTTCATTTTCATGTTCGAATCTGAATCAATCGAAAATGAAATGGCTTGTCTCATCGTAATTTACGATCGTAATATAAAAATTATCTTCTGCAGAAATTTCTTGCGGGCAAAAGCGGATGTCCTCAATAGGGGGTGTGGATGAAAAATGAAATGGCCGATGCCACGAAGAATGTTTGCATAAATATGTTTCATGTTATTGTGTAAAAATACTGAAAATCCTCCGTATTCAAGAATATGGCAACAAACTCCGACAACCATGGTCATAATGCGACAAAAGTTGGCTATTTTACTTTTGAAATCGCTTGGGAAGTCGCAAATAAAGGTACAAAGTCTATATTTTGTTGGCAATTTATAGATGTTTAATATATACAATTGTGAATAGTACATTGATTATCACTGAAGCTTGCAACAGATGTAACTGCATGTAATGTGCCCAAATTGCTAAGTCTGTCGAAAATGTGTGGTCATATTTTTATAGCATCAGCTGTAATATTGTATTGCAGTAAATCTCTATTTCGTATTATATAATATTCAAATGTCCAGCTATGATCTGCAGTAAAATAGTGTGTGAAAAAAGATCAATCAATGATCACAATGATCAGTTCGTGTTGCAAACATATATATATATGATAGGCAGACCTGCCAAGTTGGGAAGATAAGAATGTGTGATATCTCACAGCTTGGCTTCTCTAACAGTATTGCTATTAACAAATGTAAGATTTGACCAAGGCTCCTCCACAATTCTCCTTATTCATAGGCAGTGCTGTGAGTAACTTCGTTACAAGTAACTAGTTATATGTAATCATTACTTTTTTGAGTAACTGTAACTGTAACTCGTTACTTTTTTCAGAACGTAACTTGTAACTCTAACTAGTTACAAAAATTAGGAATAAAATGTAACGATAACTAGTTACATTTGCCGTCAAGAACGCTGTTACTTTTTGTGTGAACACACCGTGCCTGCAAGCGCAGCTTGTGAAAGATTGTTTAGCTGTGCAGGACTAATTTTTAGACCTGACATCATTCCTCAATGATGGATGGTAATTTTGAAAATTCTCTTGTGGTCAAATTAAATAAAAATCTTGTCTAACTAACAACATGTTTTCTCAATAATATTAGCCAAAGGAATGGATGTAACTTTGCCATTGTAACTGTAACTAGTTACAAACAACTTTAAAATAAAAAATTACCTGTTGTTCCGGTTTCATATCATGAAAAAATTAGGGTCAGTAGGTCGGAAATAAATTTTTTTTGAATATTTTTTTCATGGTTTTGTTGTTTTTTTTGCTGGGCGATTTTCAGTGGAGTCCCGACCCCCCCCCCCCCAAGTACAAATCATCTGGATTGGCAGGGCAATGAAAGATTTTAAATGATAGAATGTAGAGTTATTAAGTAGCTTCCAGGGCTTCCAGAGGGAATTGAATAGAATTTATAGACCTAAATTTTACAGATATTGGTAAAAAAATAAGGGTTTCATGCATGTTTTAACAGGAATTTGTCTGAAAAAAATTTTTTGACCCTTAATTTAATTGGGTTAAGTCTGGAAAAATTTTTTCGCCCCTTTTTTGAATGTCTGGAAAAATTTTTTTCGACCTCCCCCCGGTCGCCAACATTTTTGGGAGAAATAGTGGCCAAAAAAAAATTTTTGCTGCAGGGCATCATCGGCTTTCGCAGGGCAATTCTAGCAGACACCCCCTAATTAAAAGGGGCTAGTTTCGCCCCTGCCCCCGTCCAAGTTTTTAAAATTTTCACTGCCCCCCCCCAGAATCCGAAATTGAAGGAGTACAATCCGGAATTCTCTCTTATCGCAGATACAACTTGCAGTTCCTCAAGATGTCTGATATACTTAAGCATGTGCTTCTCCTCTTGAACAAAAATACCGACTTGCTGCTTCTTATACAGATACAGATACAGTATTATGGCACACTCCCTATCAAGGGTTTTGTAGTGACTGGTTACATTGTGAATAGATAGATACTGCCGACAGAACCGGAACTGACGTGAAACAGACCGACTGCCTGTGGTATACCGTGAGCTTACAAATGGCACTTTAAGAAGCCCCTATTAGTCCAAACCTCATTAATGATCTGCCCCCTGACCTACAGTATGTTTAACCCACCCTATATGTTTAACCTAATGATCTGCCCCCTGACCCATATGTTTCACCTCTCTATCGTCAGATGAAATGGCACCGTATTTAAAAAACCATTTTGGATTGGCTCAAGGGGCGAAATTATCAACAGGTTGTTGTTGTCCATCATTCAGCATAGTGGGAGTCTTGAACACGTTCATGTACTGTAGTGGCCGGGATTTCCTGGATCAGGGTAATGTGCTGTAACCCTAGAGAACCTCGCCATCAACGTATCTCCTGGCATCTGTTGCAAATTTCTTTGCATGCCTGTCCAAAATGCATGCAAAAGTGCCAGTATGCTTCAACTTCTTTAATTTTCATCCCCGTTTCTACTAAATTTCCCATGAACATAGAACATATCATTCTTACAAATCGTATGTTTTTTGTTTTTGGA